TGTGCTCTGTAGGGTTGTCGAATGTCCACCAATCGCATGTCCAAATCCTATACCTGACCCGAGTAATAAATGTTGTCCCAAGTGAGTTACACTCTTCAAAGTTGCACTTTTCTCACTATTATTCCGAAAACATTTTAGAAATTTCCAAATTTTGACTCTTCATTTAAGTCTGTGAGCGGAAAAGTAGTCATAAGTGAGAGTGTCTCTGAATGGGATTCCATTCTCCGCCAAACACTAAAAATAATGATCGCAGAGTGTTGTGATATCATTAACAGATGTCCGGATGAGACAAATTCAACGTCGCTGCTGGCATTGTCACACGAACGAGGAACCACACTGATCTGCACCGATGAGAACGATATGGCGCATGTTGAAGGGTCAAGTTGGAGAATTGATGAATGTACATCGTGCAGGTGATTGTTACTAGTGTTTTTGAAAGAGCTCGGTCGATGACCACCGACCGAAAATGAAACGGAATCTTGATCGGTCGGTATCAAAAATCATCTTTCGGTGGGCACCGATTGGGTATTCGATTGGTGGTCACCAGAAAAGTCTTTCAGTTCCCAACACCAATGGTTATGGCAATTCTTATCGAACCTAGAATGTCCTTCCTACGGATCGCATTTTCTCTCATTAACCAATAAACTCAATATGAACCATTATGTGTCCAAACCAATGTTATAATGTATTTAATTGAAATGTAAAATGTTAATTGTTCTTATTATCTTCATTATTTTTGTCATTCTCATATTTCTACACTCAAATTTTCAATTTTGAAGATGTGTCGCAAGCGAAGAGGAGTCAACTGATACGAAAATTGAATGCTTCCGAGAGAAATGTGCTGGATTAGAGAACTGTTTGGGTATGCCGCTCACTATTAAAGGACGTTGTTGTCCAGTTTGCTCAGGTTCAACTTTCACTAATCTTTGTGCCTGTAAAAACTGCAGATTTTTTAATAAATCCTTTATATTTTTGTTAAATAAAATTCAATCGCGTTTTCAAATTTACTTTCTGACGCATATTTTTTCTAATTTGTTAAAATTTACCGACATCTTTGCCTCTTCGAAGTGCAGCATTAGCCTGAGGTGTAGGCTCGATCTGAACAGTCTCGTTACACCCAAAACGCCCCTCTCGAAACTGATTTTGAATCAAATTTTCCTTAAATACTGTTCGATGATGCATTAAATTCACTGTATCAATGCTACCGTAATCGCTAATCGCAAGCGACTCCGCCCAAATTCACTGCTGCGCTCTGATTGGTTGTTCAGCGAGCGTTTACTTCGATTGCACTCTGTTGACCGTAAACGCAACGTATAACATTGAAACTCGCAAGTTCACATTTTTGACTGCAGAAAGCAAAATAATTCTGCCTAGGATAAATCTCCATAAGGTCGTTCAGTACCACACTTCGTGAGCAGTTCTTCGCGATTGCTTCTGATGAACATAACAAGTCATTACTATTGAACACAGCTGATTCATTACTTTTAAATGTGCTGAGCAATGATCAGTCCTATTCTAGACGTGCTATCATCGGAGTCAGTCTGCATCTACAACAAAAACTCCTACAGTATCAATGAAGAATGGCATGATGGTGATTGCCGTAACTGTACGTGTCAACCAGGTGGTAAAACGATTTGTAAGGAGCAACAATGTGCACCATGTAATAAACCGATTGTTGTTCAGGGTCAATGCTGTCCGCTTTGTAAAGGTATGAACAACCATCAACACAAATGTGACACGTTGCTTTTGTTTCCAATTATCCAATGNGGTTGGCAATCAATTGGTGAAGGAAATCCACACGCAATCGAAGTAGACAGCAACTCACACACTCAATCTGTAAATCCAATTCTAATTGGTTTAAGTTTTGGTGGATGTTTATTATTAGCGACGATCGTTCTATTGCTCATCTATCAATTCATTAAACGGCGACGAAGCAGCAAACAAAAGGTTTCCGTTTGAAATCAATCAAAACGTTTTTTTTTTGTTCAACTGTTTTGTTCATCAATCAAAACTTTAAGTTTTTGTTTATCAGTTCATCTGTTCGAGCTTCTTTCGATTATTTGCTTGTTGTTGTGGCTTTTGAGAAAGCTATTTATCGATGATACGTTATATGGGGATGGATTACAGAAATCACCGATTCACTTCAACAATTCCAAAGTGCTGCTATCGTCATCGAAAGCAATCGGATCAACGCCACGACTATACGACGAATTTCCGAAACGAAGAGACAGCTGTGGAGATGGTCAAAGTGAGTCATTGCTTTCAACAACGTAAGTTTTCATTTTCATTTTACAAATGTTTACTTTTACTGTTGATAGTTTCAATTCATTATGAACATTGTATCTTTTTCCTGAATTGAGAACATCATCTGAGATAGAATAGCGAGCTTTTTACGTAAGTGATTCGTTGTTATCTTATTTTTGCTCGTCAGTCTCTCAAACAAGCGATTTTGGAATGTAACTCCAATGATCACCTAGTGAATGATAGGCCAGAAATTGGCTCTCAATCAGAATGAATTAACAGATTTCAGCTCTGAATCAAGTTCAGCCGTATCGTCGAACGGCAGTTCGGGTCATGAGCCACACTTCGACACACTTCCGTTAACAGCCAAAAAGAACGGCGCAAAACGAACCAAATCGGTTGACTACGGTAACAGTATTCGGCGTGGTTTTGGCTCGTTCAAAAATACACCGCTAAGTAAAGCTAGTAAAGTTGGTGAAAAGCATGGCTCGTGTAACGTCTAACATTCACTCCGTTCATTCATTAGAAGAAGGTAGTAGTCAGCGTTCGGGTTTCGAGTGAAACTCGAACCATCTGTTTCGAGTACCAGTGAATTGAATGCAACGTGAATACATACCGTCAGTAAATATGAAAATGCAAATTGGCCTTCAGATATGTGAATTGATCTTTCCATATTTGTGAAAATATGATGAAAGCATTAAATGGACATTCAACATCAGTTCAACAATTAGTGAATTCATATCGAAACTGCTGAAGAAGTTCACAGCGCTGTAATTGCCTAGCCATAGCAGTAGATTAACTTGTTAACAAATTATGCAATGTTGGGCTAAAATTCGAGAATTTTCGCACATGTACCAAGCTGAATTAGATTTATAGCTACCTTACTCAGTGGATGTATTCCAATGGTTTAAAATAGTTCATTGTCCAAGAGAATTCTAGCAAAAATTCACATAAGCAATTTATTCTTGGATTCACATAAGCAATTTATTCTTCTCCTGAATGAGACCCAACTTTTTGGTATAGATGACGGCGTGTTTGATTGGGCGACGACGATATTTTCGAACAAATCTTTGTATATGGCTGTCTTTCTGTCTTCCTTTTGTTTATCTCTATTTATTGTTTATTTATTTATTCATTCAATTTCTTGATGCGAATTCTATTGTGTATATTTTCATAAAAATGTATTCGTTATGCATACTCTAAATATGCTGTAAGAAATATCTTTAATCTTGTGCCAATAAAGGCATATCGATATGCGACATAACTTTGTTTTGATGTGCTTCTTTGCTGTGATCAAATGATGGTTGTTCGATTATTTACTTTTTGCATTCTCCATTAATTTCTCAGTTTTGATTTCCTCAAATTGATCAATCTGAATCGAAATTACTTATTTCGAGCGATATTTTATCCAGTATTATCCAGTTTTATGTGATGACTTTTGATGCAGTTCAGATCTGTTCAATTTTCAGCTTGCCACTATAAGTGAGCAAAAATCCATTGTTGGTAACGAATGAGTGTAATTAAGGCCATCTTTCCGGCTCTGACTGATCAATTTAGCTTCTCTCCCAAACCTTTAGTCGATTTCATTCATTGAAAACTGATTCTTTGGTGAACGAAAATTTCAAAATGACCAATTCAAGTTGTTATCGAAGAGTTTCTCAAAGGAACGTTGATTATGAGAGCATCGACAATGGGTCACGATCAAAAACAAAAGCATTTGATCACAAAATTGCAAATAACACTGACGATAAATCATTGTTGGTGTGTTTTGCAATAATTGTTTCATAAAATCTTGAATATAAATTCGAATTTTGTAAATATTTAATGTGCTTTATGACGAGTTGGCCCAATTTATTATTATTATTTTTCATTATAATAATCCATATGATCACTACCACTTTGGTTATTATCACTCAATGTTATTACTGTCATCAAATCAATTTCTCATGAAATCAACTCATTGATTCTATCGAAATCCATCGATGCAAACGACTCGTATTGTTCATGAACGAACTCATCAGATGCGTCTATGCAGTCTTTTTTTGTTTTGTACATTTTTTTGTATGTGTGTGTGCGTGTTTCCAATTGAATGAACAATGACGAGTATTTCTCTTTTGACAGTAATATTATTATTATTACATTTGTTAATATGACTATTTATCGTTATCCATATAATTAATTTCGTTTTTATCATCTTTAATATGCTATCTCATTTTAAAACTGATAATATCATTTGCACTGTTTGGATGTTGATGTATCTATCTCAAGCGCGCATCCATTGATTATTATTCATCGATTATGCTTTTATCGTAAATGACCGTTGCGTTATGGTTTTAAGAGACCCTCTTGAAGAGCTTTGTATTTTAACAAGTGACATTCATTCATTTTATGCATTTTACTGTTTCATTCATCTATTTGATCAGTAATGAATTTTTTAATTGTATTTTGATTGTTATAAGTCAGTTTTTTTACTCGGTTCATTTGTATACAATCATTTATTTTCTTAAATTCAAAAATATTCATTTGTAATCATCAGATATCATTCAGTTTCGCAACTTATCGTCTCATTATTGAGATCAGCGCTTTTAATTTACACTTTGGTTATTGCGATTCACGCGATTTTCAATCAGATACACTTGACCATCATCACTATACGATTAATAAAATTTTTCTCGATAGTCTGTTCTTT